AAAACTTCAATTAATTCAATGTTAATACAATCGTGCAGTCATGCTACATATTTGGTTATCGAATTCCAATGAAGAATGTTCACTAATTTTGTTTTTTAGCTTTCTGTATTCTCTGTTAAAAATAAAAAAATACACGTGAAAGAATTATTTCGATACGTCAATTAGTTTCCAAGATATTGAATTTTAAAATTGTGGGCGGCGGCCTGCCCGCCATTTTATGCGCGTGATGTCATATTACAGTGACTGGCTCATATTTGTATGGGTGGAATCTTGCAAGCTGAATTAAGACCCACTTCCAGGCAACCGATTAAGCTGAAATTTCGCAAGCACATGTGATTTGGATGACCATGCAATATTATGATGACATGGAGCTGATCTGATGATGGAGCTGGAAGGTGGCCATAGGAACTCTATAATAAAACGACTTAAATCCATCGAGTTTGGGTTCGTTCGTTTTATATTGACGAGTACTTTAATTCTATATAGTAATCAGGGTCTAATGATGGAGCTGGAAGGTAATTCGCAATAAAACGACACAATCGCATCAAGTTTGGGTTTGGTTCAATTTTAATTTCTGTGATGGGTCTGGGTGTTAATATGTATAATAAGTTTGTATTTACAAAAAAAATGTATTTAAGTATGTTTATACCCGTTTTCTAGAGAGCGGATACTGTGAGTACGTCACGCGGGGTCACGTGACCGTCGGCGGCACTCAATATTTAAGCGAACTTTGAATGCTTATAAAATCATAACTACTGGGTATTTTTGAATGAAATAAAAACTAATGTATTTGTAAATGTAAAAGCCTAACTGTAACAAAAAAACTCGATTGTCATAAACACCACGATTTTGAAATGTATCTTAGGTATTTTATTTTTCTGTTACTTACATGATAGGTTTCTTCCAAAATGTAAAGAAATGGAAACATTAAAAATTGCGTGCAGCTAAAATGTTAAATAACTAGTGCGTTTACGTACTACAAACTTAATAATATGTTTCAGCACTACGGTACAAGCTCCGCTTAGTTTTTAGCTAAGTAATGAATGTGAATGTGTTTCTTAGAACAAATTATTCTAAAATTTAATTAAGTATTGTTTGCAAGTATAATTTTTTAAAAAACACTAACATAGTAGTGCCTAAGGTGCTATTATTAGCACCAGTAGGTACTTATATCTGGGGGCNCATCGAGACCGGCTGCTGTGGCCGGTAACAAGAGTGTTAAGCACAGACTGCTATAGCTGTCGAAACGTCACGGCCGTGTTCGCATGCTAAGCCGCCTATTACCTTTAGCATCTGGTACCATAAAAGGTATTGCATAGGGTAAGGTATTCAATCTTAGTAATTTTTCCACATCACGCAATCCTGACCCTATCTTTTCTTTACAGTGAGACCACTAACAGTGGAGATAAAGAAGCCCATAGAGATTGGCGAGGGCGGAGTCCTAACAGCCGAGCGGCGCTACGAGGTGACGTGCGAGTCGGCCGGCAGCCGGCCGCCCGCCGTCATCACGTGGCACAAGGGCAAGCGGCTGCTGAAGAGAATTACGGTGAGTCGCTTTCAAAACTATATGATAGGTACAGCCAATTGCCGTGCGTGATTCTCATTCAGTGTGCTACTTTCCTGAAGACCTCTAAGGTCAATATGTCCGTACCAATATGTAGTTATGCCTTAAAAATCTGAGTATATGGACATTACTACACTACACTCGTACTATAAACGTTTGTTACTAGAATAACATTTATAAGCGGAATTGAAATATGTACGTAACTTTGGGGATATTTCTACTATGGAATTATTATTTTTGAGTATTTTTGTTATCTAATGTCTGGAATTTTCCTGACGCAAATAGGTAATGAATGTTATTGTGGTACGGCGCGACATGTTATCAAAACGAAGTAGGTAATGTTTATTTAAACCAAGATTCCCAGGAATATAATTTTGATCTTATGTAACTGAACCAAATTAGCTTGATATCAGTAGGCACATAATGTGTATAATTTCAATTAGGTCTAAGTAGAGGCACATAACAACAATGGTGCTTGCATGTTTCCGGACGTGCAATGAACCGAGTATAATGCCGCTCGCTCGGGCGGCCGCGAATCGCCTCAGAATGCAGGGCAATGGCGGCGAGCGACGCCGCGGGCCGCAATTAGCGCGCCCTGATCCGTGCTGAGCAGTTAACTCGGTTACGAGCTGATCCGCGTCAATGGTGAAGTGATTTAAGGGCGTTGTTTGCGCCGCACCGACACTTTAACTGTGTTTTGATGGCTCCACGCCCGTTGGATTGACTAATCATCGACCCTACGCACCTGTATCTAGGTAAATAGGCAATACGGTACTATACGGCAATGATAGGTACGAGTATTATTACTGTTCACTTTATAGAAATATTACTTGCGCCTCCTTACATCTGGCGGTTTTATTCATTTTATTTATTGTTAGAGTAACTTAAATCTGTTTTTGTTCTTTTAGATCATAGATTGTGATGTCACTCGAATTCTACTAACCCCTTTGCCAAGATTAAATAAGGGAAGACTTTATTTAGCGCGCTTCACGGAATCATGTTTTTTACGAATTGATACAATCTTAAATTAACCTGGGGACTACATTACACTCTTATGTCGAACCTGAACCGTTGCGACTCGCGAATCTGATGACCAAGTAGGCAGATGCTGTGGCTGGAGGTGTTCATATATCAATAATTTAGCTTAGTCTCAATTGAGTTGCTTACACGCATGCAAGGCAGCGACCACACCGCGCGGACAAGCGTGAAGCGACGCGTGTTGCACAGTGCATAGCGTTAATTATCGCGGACTTAATCACCGCGTGTGCGGTGGCCTGCGAATTAGTGCGAATGAATGTGTTTAATTTTGTGACGTAAGTGATGTGATTGAACGTGAAATTAATTTTGTTAATTGAACGTTACTTATTATTAGTAGCATACTAGTTAGTATAAAATTCATTTATTAAATTGGTAGTCATTTTGGGGAGATGCGTTCTCGCGTTCGTGGAGTATTTTCTTATTTGGACCATATCTAATTTATTTTCAAAATTCACACAATCATAAATTTTTCTAAGGCACGAATCTGATTTGCAAAAAAATGCGGAATAAACTTTGAAGTTGTAAAAAGGTGTTGTAAAGGCCTGGTCCTCAAAGTTGTAGGATTAGCAACAAAGAGCCCACTTGACCCGAGCTGTTGGCGCGGAATAAACACCGCGAAGTTCCGCGCTCGAGAGCTGCGCCAATAGGGAAATGCGCTTATTGATCCTCGAAGCGCGGGAATTTCTTTCAACGCAAACTTCCCGACGCTGGGCGCGGGAAAGTTGGGAGCAGAGCCAAATTAAAGATAAGGTCGTAAGACGGCACGCGCGTGGTGAATAGTCTTAGGCAAGGAGTGCTTGGTACAGTTTTTAAAAGGCATATTTCTTGTTTAATAGATCTTGGTTTCTGATATCTGCTTCGGAAAAAGCCAAAAAGCTGTCATAATAAAATTTATTAATAGAAATGCTTAGTTAATGGCTAATGTAAAAGAAATAAATGAGGGCATAATCGTATTATCTAAGTTATTATTTACTATCTCATGAAGAGAATAATATAATCATGAAACTTTTATCATTTATCCAATATTCGGGTAAACATAAAAGTAATAAAAAATATCACAATATAACTAATAATAAAACTTGCATGAGACCGAGTTCTCTTTAATAAATGTATAATGTCGATAAATTGGAACAGAAATTTTTACTTACACAAGATATAACTTATTGAAATATTGAAACCATAATAAAAGAATCTACCGTAAAATCAATATTGTATTCGTATAAAACCCGATAAAAGTTTAAATAATGAGAAACACAAGCTCTCTTTGCACCTCTGTTATAATGACATCAAGTCATAATGCTTCGTGTAAACTTGCTAGTACAATTTGAGTTGGGCGTTACGTAGTTTATAGTGAATACCACTCATGTCTAAAACGTGGCTCCATAAATGCACAAGCGAACAAATCTTCCGTGAGCCCTTTCAGTTGCCGCAGTGGAGGTGTCGGATACACCGCAGCGGGCCATTCACTCCGAGCCGTAAACTCGTGTACAAACGCTGCCACCAATTCCATGCATTTCTGTCCCGTGAGTTACTCCGGCTTACAACTAAAAGACTTAATTTAGCTTGCATCCACCTACAATGTGACACAGCCAGGGAAATGCGAACAGTGTGCCTACCATGACTTTACGTTAGGTGAGTTCGCTAGCGAATACGTCAAAAAATTCTATGACGATTTTATTTCTTGAAAGTAGCCACTAGGGGCGCTGCACAATATGTCATACATTTAAATGTCATTTTTTTACGCAGTCGCTAGCGAGCACACCTAACGTAAACTCATGGTAGGCACACAGGACAAATTCGTACATGCTCGGCAATTTGATAGAGATTCTGATAATTATTTATTTTTATTCAAACACTAGAAAGATTTGAAGATTTTGTATGATCACAGTCGCACAAGCTGTCGACGCGACGGCTAAATATATTTTAAATTTTTAATTAGATTTTGCTCTTAATTACAATCGAATTAAAGAGTGACGAAATAAAGTTTATTAGCTGAGGAGACGTCTAGTTAGCCTTCATTTAAGTTCATTTAGTTTTACTTATTCTGTGGTTTAGGCTATTTTTAGACTGAATACTAACACATAGGACTGTTCAAATTGCGCTATGTCGACATTCCGACCAAAATTCGCCATACAATTAGCACGTTTTCAACTAACTGCGCATATTAATGCCGCGCTGCTGCATCCCTCCGCCTTGAGTTTGCGCTGAGATGATTCGATGCACAGCTTACCTAAGTAGATAGGTATTGATTTTGGGGACTGTCGCTAGATTGACTAAAATGAATAATTAGTACCAACCGTTGAATATAGATAAACCTTCTGAATGGAATGGTATGAGAAAATTAAAACGCTAAATTACATTGCTAATATTGAATGATTTAAACAATGTAGCTTACGAGAGATGACAAGTTACAGTAACTAATATCCAGATGCCGTATCCCATTACCTTAAGCTCACCGAGTTGTTTTTGAAGCATGATCTGAGTATTGATTTCGGTGGCGATTGCTGGAATGGAGCCAAAGAGAACGCAATGCTATCCATAACATTGCATGCAAAAGTGACTGCTCCTCCAGTTGTGACTACTGACGGCTCAGTGCAGCCCACCGGCTCCGTATCGCGTTGTTTTGATGCACAGTCCAGAATATTGATTCCCGTGGCGATCGCTGGATTGTGGCCAAGAAGAATGCAATGATATCTTTTAAATTGTGTGAGAGTACGGAGCTTGAATGTCTGCTGGTCTAATTGCATTCCCTGTATCGCTTTGGGAGTAACTTAGCCAGTTGGTTTCCAAATCAATCAACTCTCAAGCCAGAAGATTCAGCTAGAGATTGGATCGACTTAGAAACTGCACACTAACTTTAATAGGTAATTTATTATATATCTTTAAACGATATAAAAGTACCTAGAGTAAGTCTTTATTCTGTAGGCATAGTTATCTTCTATCAAAAATGATAACTTGTTTAGAAAAAATATATATTTTTTTCAATCGAATGTGCATACTTTCTTTCGTACTGTGTTATCTGTATCTTTGGATCGGATTAGTGTCGCTGGTCACACGCACTTGTGAAAGATTTCAAACGCGCATTACACCTGAGCAAGTGCGGCTCGGAGTTGTTTGTTACTCGCGCTCGTCTATTTGCCGCTGCGACTGCACAAAGTGCTCACACAAAGCTGGACCGCTCGCCGCTTTGTGACCGGGACGAGTGCACACCGGGAACACCAATTCTTTCAATTCTGTCAATTATACAAATAGATATCTACATAGATATTACTAGATATCTACGTGAGATTCGATTTAGTAATAGTTTAGTATACTCTGATTAAGGCACTTACAACGTAGGTATGCGACTTATTTAATAGAAACCTATAACTAATGCACATCTCTATCAATAAAATAAATCTACAAATACCACACTCTATAATCGACAGCACATCAGTTTTCATTGTCAGATAGTACCTTTTACACAACTGCATAAAAAGCTATATACGAGGGCGGCACTGAAAATTTCGGGAATCAAGGAAGTGAAACAACATTACTATTTAAAAATGTATTTATTGCTTTTTAAAGTATTCTCCGCGAACTTTGACACATTTTTCCATACACGAAACCAATCATTGAAGCAACCATTGCATTCGGAAGTTTGGGTCTCCAAAATGGCCGTTTTGTAGGCTTCCACAGCTTCTTCAGGTGATGAAAATCTCTGACCACGCAATTTATTCTTAATTTTAGGGAAAGTATAGAAATCATTAGGGCTTAGGTCGGGGCTGTACGGCGGATGGACTAATAATTCTATGTTTTCTTGCTCTAAAAACTCTTTTGTTCAGTGCGCGGTGTGAGAACTCGCATTGTCGTGATGGAGGATGATGCGGCGGTTGCAGTTCTCTTTACGGAGTTCAGAAACGACCTGTGGCAAACAAATGCTAGCATACTAATCTGCATTAACC